GCTCAATGGACACCGGGCTGAGCCTGAGGCTTTGCGTAACTCACAATAGGGTGGAGAATAGGGCTGCTCAGGAATTGGTTTGAGGCTGCCCCTTCCATGTTTGCCTTTGGGCATCCACAGGACTCAAAGAAAGACACTGGCACTGTGGGCAACCCCAAATGGGCTCCCACAAGACCCAAACCCTGTGCTTCCTCCACTGGCGGAGCCTAGAAAGGTCATGGACTGCTTTGGTGGCCCTGTGCAATAAGCCCACCTGGAAACCCCTACTAGGCTCCTGCCAACCAATGGAGAACCGCTGGAAGAGCAGAGATGCCCCTCAAAGCAGTTGATCTGCCTCAGCTACGGGGTAACTTTGGGGCTGGAATCACTCTGTAATTCAGTGCACCTGGATTAAATGCCACTGAGCTGCCAGCTTTAAAATGGCTCATTTTCCATGAATTTTTTTAAAAAGGGGGACAACTGCATAGCTGTATGAGGGGGAAGGCCAAGTGGAGACCCAAAGCCCATCAGTAGTCAATTGGACACCCCTGTCAGAAGGGTCACGGGAAGAGACGAGCCAGTCAGGGTGCAGTAGTACAGCATCGATGAAACACACACAACCTTCCTCTAGTTCTTTAATGCTTCCTACCCACCCCCCAACTACCATGATTCCAATTCTACCTTACAAATCTGGCTATACCAGAACATGTATACTGGTACAGATAAGAGCTTACAACACAGGGAATCCAGGACAGATAAACCCCTCAGGACCAGTAAGGGGAACAGCGATACTAGTAGGTTAAGGGAAGGGAGCAGGGAAGGGGGATCTGATCTCAATAATCGACATGTGGCCCCCCTCCCACAGGGCCGGACAGCAGAAAAGTAGGTGAAAGGAGACAGTGGTTGGTATAAGATGGGGGGGGGCAATAATTTATAAATGATCAAGGGGACATGGGTGAGGGAGGGAAAAAATGAGGAGCTGATACCAAGGGCACAAATGGAAAGAAAATGTTTTGAAAGAGATGATGACCACATATGTACAGATGTGTTTGACACAATGGATATATGTATGGATTGTGATAAGAGCTGTAAGAGCCCCCAATAAATAAAAAGTTTTTAAAAGAAAAGAAATGCCGTAGCTGCTTAGGAGGGAACCTCTGGAGACTTCCTGTCTCTAAGCTTCCTGACATGGTATGGGAGACCTCTGGCTCAGGGTGGGGCATCCCCTTCTTTCCAGTCTCTTTCCAGAGACTTCCTCCAGAGAGGTGGAGGACGGGTGAATGAAGCCCATGGGTCAGGTCTGGGTGAAAATGTTCTGTTTTTCCGACGTGGAGTTGACACGAGTCCACCCCAGCCGTCCTCAATGGCCGCTGCTCTATCGTTTACCCTCCGGCCCGTTTGCCTGAGACACGCGTTGATACGGATGACCGAAGCAGGCCGTGGGGACCGGGAGAGAAGAAAGAGGAAAAGAGAGATTTCAGAATGTAGCAAATGTTTTTAATTTTTTTTTCTTCAAATCTGAAGATCATCCCCATTAGAGTCAGGATGTGATCAAGGAAACCCTTCCCTCAGTCTTTTTCCTTTTTGCTAATTACCTTTCCGAGGTCTCCCGTGCCCAGATAGAGGTCCAGCACGTTAATTCCAAAGTGTATGTGAATCAAGTGTCTGGAGACAAAAGTTCCCCAGTGGGCTGGTTATTCCTGTGTGAATTGTATCACTGTAGGGAAGGTGCATTTCCACATCTGTGAGGTGTA